GTTGTACAAGAATGTAAACAAATGTCATTACAGGCTTAACTTGGCGTCTGTTGTACAAGAATGTAAACAAATGTCATTACAGGCTTAACTTGGCGTCTGTTGTACAAGAATGTAAAATCACATGTGATAGATGAATTACATTTTTAACAGTAATTTGAATTCTGAAACTTATGAGAAAGCACTGTCATTAAAAAACTAGATAAATGTTGACGATGTGAAAAAGTTAGTCCCATAAGTAATAAAAATAATTATAATTTTGGCTTGCTAACTATGATGTTCTCTCTAATTTTGTTTACCTCTTAAATGTCAACCCGTTTAGGAAAAACTACACACATACAAATACAAACACATATATATAAACATACAAAAGTACACATACACATGCACATATAGTCATTTGGAGTCAGTATAAGTAGAAACAATTGGCTGAATCTACACCGCGAATTATTTGATGAATTATTTTTTATAAAACCCAAACTTTTAAATGACATGTAATTAAGAAATTCAAATTTTCCTTACCAAAAAGTCTGTATTTACGAAATCTAGATAATTACGATAATTACTGGATTTCGACATAAATGAAAGACATAGCAGTTCGAGCATATCTGTGTCACTTTACAATGCAAGGGGATGCGGACGTGTACAAGCGATTTACGATTCTGAGCCCCAGAAACGTTTGGGATCGCTAAAAGATTTCCAATCAAATCCCACTGTTCGATCAGACAAGAGTTGACAGTGGGTGTTGATGACTAGGTTGCCTTCCCTCTAGTCTCTCGGTTCAAAAATATGTAAGGCTATGTGACGAAAAGCAAAACAAAATACAGCTAAAGGCTTGGCCTAATTGTCGTTATACTGGACCAACGCTACTGTAAATGTAATGTTTTTTCAACGCTGTTGACGTAAGTTATTATCATAGTGAGTTAGTTAGAGCGTCAGCAGGATTTCTTATTTCCGGTATGGTGATTGGCTATTCCGTGTACCAGCTAAGTGGCAGGTTAAGTTTACAAGGTCATTTCTAATAATGTACGCTCGAAAACAACTCACATTTCCATTACAAACCTCTGTAGTGGCCACTTCCGTATATTTGCGTAATGGTTTACTCTACAATCTCGTGTATATTGAAATATCTATATTGTATTGTACGTTATGTGATAATGAGGTAATTGTCAAATGGCGCTAACCCTTTCATCGTTCAGAAAATGAAACATATTTATCTAGTTCTTTACATAATAATCTCAAACACTCCATTCAGTGGCGCCAACTGAGGGATGGTTGGGGCGACTGCCCCCACCCAAGCCTTTTTTTTTTAGAAATGTCTGGTTAACGAGCTATGTTTATGGATATTTACTAGTATTAATATATACAAAGTACAAAGTCGAAATTTCACTATTTTTTGTTACTCATAATGGTCTAGCTCTTACGTTTATTACAGTTAATGTATGAGCTCCGAAACGTGCTACATCATCATAACTTCATGCATTTTGTAGAAGTTGGGGCTCAACTTTGCTCCCTCCTCCCAAAGATTTTGCTGAAATGGCGCCACTGACTCCACTAGTCGTTTGGCAAGGGGGGTGAGATGACAATATAGTGAAGTTTTAAAAAAAGAGGTGGAAAGCAAAATAAGGGCTAAATTAAATGTGACGATAAACGTGTTCTAATTCTAATTTTTCTATTACCCCCTGTAGAATGATATGGAAGTACTGTAGAAATTGCATCCCCACCCCATATAATATTATATTATAAAAATCCAATTAAAAGAAGGGCTAGGAATGAAGCAATTCATACTATTGAAATGTAAGCAGTTTTTACAGAATTGTTCGAAATGTAGCACTCAGCTATAGAAACCAAATTATATGAAAAAAATTCAAGAAATGATTAATCACGACTTTTCATTAAAACCTTGGGAACTGACCTTAGGCCACACTTAACTTCACTTCTTTCTAAGTAAATATGGAAACATTTCCTTATGAAAACTTTTCTCTTAAAAACACGAATCCAAGCATCTCTAAGAAAATATAAAAGCGGATAAGACTATTAGAAAGTGATAGACATCGTTATATCCTAGTAGTGACTTACACCTATCTTATGTGCGAAGAAAATGTATAACTTAATACAATAATAAACCTTTAAAGAAAAACATACGTTGAAAGTTAGTTAAACAGAATACTACATTTCACTTTGTATATATTGGATGAAAAATCATTGATAGCCTTTCGAGGTTAACATATTTTGAATACTTTTCTATAGGCACACACACATAACGTTTTATAAATGCGATTTACTTGAGGTTATACAGCACAAAACAGAATGTAAAAACGAATACAGCTTGCATTAATGAAATATACGTTAACATGCACTATAAATTAAAGTAAGGGACTAGTCAAGTGAACTCTTGTAGGGTCCGTTTCTGATGCTAAACGGATTAAATCAAGGCACTTAAAAGTTTTCACTAAACGAAATCGCTTCATTAATTATGGTTGCTATGGTTACCTGATGGAAGGGCTGGAGTCTGGAGTCGTCGTAGAGGCGACCAGGGAGAGGGGAAGATCTACGAGTCAAAGAAATCTGAGTGAAAACAAAACTACCGTGTCACTGATAAACAATTGTAACAGATACACACTAAGCCTATATGAACGAACAATACATTTGTAATAGTTCACACTAGGCCTGGGGAGCACATAAAATACAAAATTTGAAGTTCAAATTCATGCATGTTTAAAAAGTGGAACACAGTTCTATTGCTAACTCTGTCTGTCGCAGTGTTACGTGCAGCTGGCAAAGGTGCTCACTCATGCCGCGAAATATCCAAATTTGATATTAATGGACCATACTGGAAAACTTGTACTTGTAAATTATAATTTTCCCAGTGTCTTACAAACACTGCGAACAATCACTCTTGCGTGATCTAAGATCTAATTTTATTACATACTTCGTAGAGGGAATTTCTGTAAAACGAAAACAACGTAGCATATCGTAAGTACAGATCTTGAATAAGATTTAATTTTGCCGAAAGTGCTTGTTTGGCCTTCAGCTGCATGTAACTGTAGAGAAGAAAAACCATGCCGACATTTCATGTGTCACAAACATGTGGGCTCCTTCACATGAGTATGGTATTAGTACCACATCTGCTCACTTGAAGTTTAAAATAAGTTTCAAATCCTTCGTTTTAATAATTAATTGAGTAAAATAGGGGGTAATGAGTAATATGACACGTAGAGAAGAAAATTGGTGGTATAGGGGGAAATAGGAGGTAGTCAACAATATGACAAGTAGAGAAGAAAATGGGAGGTATAGGGAAAATAGGAGGTACCCTTATATGCGAGGTAGAGATGAAAATGGGAAATAAGAGTAAACAGGAGTTAGAGAATGAAGCGGGAAGTAGAAAGTAACATGGGAGGTGGAGAGTAGTATGAGAGGTAGAGAGTAATATGGGAGGTGAAGAGTAGTATGAGAGATAGAGAGTAATGTGGGAGGTGAAGAGTAGTATGAGAGGTAGAGAGTAACATGGGAGGTGGAGAATAGCATGAGAGGTAGAGAGTAATATGGGAGGTGAAGAGAAACATGGGAGGTGGAGAGTAGTATGAGAGGTAGAGAGTAACATGGGAGGTGAAGAGTATTATGAGAGGTAGAGAGTAACATGGGAGGTGAAGAGTATTATGAGAGGTAGGGAGTAACATGGGAGGTGGAGAGTAGCATGAGAGGTAGAGAGTAATATGGGAGGTGAAGACTAGTATGAGAGGTAGAGAGTAATATGGGAGGCGAAGAGTAGTATGAGAGGTAGAGAGTAACATGGGAGGTGGAGATTAGCATGAGAGGAAGAGAGTAACATGGGAGGTGAAGACTAGTATGAGAGATAGAGAGTAACATGGGAGGTGGAGAATAGCATGAGAGGTAGAGAGTAATATGGGAGGTGAAGACTAGTATGAGAGGTAGAGAGTAATATGGGAGGTGGAGAGTAGTATGAGAGGTAGAGAGTAACATGGGAGGTGGAGAGTAGCATGAGAGGTAGAGAGTAATATGGGAGGTGGAAGAATAGCATGAGAGGTAGAGAGTAATATGGGAGGTGGAGAGTAGCATGAGAGGTGGAGAGTAACATGGGAGGTGGATGGTAATATCTTTAGCGTATAGTAACATCTACACGAAAGGTATAGAATAAACTAGGTCGCCTCTGTGTGAACTATGTCATCGTCTTCTATCATATACCCAGTTTTCTTATTTTCTACCATACATTACATTAGTTTTGTTAGAGTAACCGCTCTTGTCCATTTTGTAATCAAAACTTAACCAAACATTTAAATAAATTAGAAACTAACTGATTGTACTGTCCTCATCTCAGGGGTAAAACGTTTTTTATTTACCTTGACCTCTCGAGCCATCTTCTAGACGCTCAAGCTGGTTCTTGTCTAGATCTTGTGGAAGAGAGTCTGTAGGAAGACAGAGTGGAAGAAATTAAATAACGACCAGTGTAGTGTTTACTTCTGTATATCTGCAACACTGACTTAGTGTTTACTTCTGTATATCTGCAACACTGACTTAGTGTTTACTTCTGTATATCTGCAACACTGACTTAGTGTTTACTTCTGTATATCTGCAACACTGACTTAGTGTTTACTTCTGTATATCTGCAACACTGACTTAGTGTTTACTTCTGTATATCTGCAACACTGACTTAAAAATCATGTCTTGCAGAAACCCTTAAAAATGCTATGTCACTGTACTTTACGTTTAAGGAACGACCTTAGTAAATAAAGATTATTAATCAGAATCTATTGAAAAACAGAGAGATAACCTTTTTTTATTTATCAATATTTGTCCCGAATCATTCTTACTTCCTAAAAACAAAAACATATAAAAAGCTACTTTGATGAACTTATGGAAACCACTAATGTCTGATGAAAGTAAAAAAAAAGAACAAATATAAATATTTGTTTATATTTTTTTCTGACTTATATCTTACTATAGTTTCAAATATAGTTAAAACCAAAAGCACACTGTTTAATTTCTCTAGTGTATATCGGTAGAAAACTATCTTCTACTACTAGTAATAAACGACCTTATAACACTAAGTTTGTTACTTTCTATTTTTCTTTAACTGGACACTCAACGTTTCGCTTTACAGCTTCTTCAGGAGGGTACCACTAAAATACAAACCGTAACTAACGGTACAAAGCTTCAAATGGTTTAAATAGTGGTTTGTGTTTTAGTGAAACGCTCCTGAAGAAGCTGTAAAGCGAAACGTTGAGTGGCCAATTAAAGAAAAATGTGTTTGATGCTTTTAGGTCGCTTATCTCTAGTATTAAGCCAAAAGCAGTTGAATTATTTTCGCGTTTTTAGACAAGGGATTTCAAGTTTTCTTATATGTTTATTTCAGAATTTTCGAGCAAAGTTACACAAAGGGCTCTCTGGACATAGCTGATCCAAATTTTGAACTAATAGACTAGAGGGAACGTACTTAGTCAACAGCGTCTACCATCTACTCTTGGGGTTACTCTTGTCTGACCAGATAGTGGGATTTGAACATCACTTTTATAACGAACCCACGACCCTAAAGTATGGGGTACATTTCTGCAGCATTAGGTTGCAAACCATGAACACTCGGATTCACAGTCTGATCACGTTAAATACTAGGCCACAATCGAACCCTTACGTTTGATATAGTAAATAAATAAATAAATGCAAAAATATAAATTAAGAACGTAATAAATACAAACAAATCATAATAAATAAATAAATAAGATTAAAAAAGATAAATAAATACAAAAATAAAAAACATGATAAATAAATACAAAAATAAAAAACATGATAAATAAATAAAAAAATAAATACAAAAAATGAAAAACATAATAATTAAATACAAAAAATAAAAACAATGATAAATAAATACAAAAATAAAAACAATGATAAATAAAATACAAAAATAAAAAACCTA